ATATATATATATATATAGATATATATACCCAGGCTCCAAAGAGCCTGAGTAGACAGTAAAAAGCCCCGACGAAATAGCCTGCCGAATCATGAGGCGTTCATTTGCAAAAGTCCTCGCTAACGTTCTATCAATCTGAGGATAATGTTTTTGACCGTCAAAGTAGACGGGTAACGGAAACAGCAGGGGTCTTCAAATGACTCTCAAAAATTCTACGGGGTTAGAGCTTCCGATCAGTTGAATAAATGGTGATTATAAAGTTCACAAACCACAGCAAAGAACAACCTGTTTTGGAGTCCAAAGCCTCTACATAATGCAATTAAAAATTATCTGCAAATTAACCTAGCCTACGGAGACTTCGTTGTCATTAATGGTACCCAAATTAAAACGTGCGTTGAACTTTATGCAGCACCATCACATGAAGAGTCAAGTGATTCCTTCAGCTGAGACCTTCATCACTTCCTTAATAAACCGGCAGAATCCCCCTCGATGTTTATGCAGTTTATTATGACAAATCGTCCCGGGATGACTGTATGATGTAATCTTGGGCGTCGGTGAGCACCTGTTAACACATCCTGAAAAATGAATACTTTAAACTTGACAGCATTCTAAATCACTTAAGGTGGCTTTCGTTACAGAAGCATCCTACCATAACATGTATTCCTGTGGTGCCTTTAAGGTCGACGTAACTTGAATCTGGGACACTGCTGTAGAATTCGAACACGAAACTTCAGCTGAGAGGTAAATGTGGAGCGGGGTGTTTCTGCGTTGACATCCATTTTATATTTATTCTCAGTAGCATCAGCTCGGTTACCGAAGATTCTTGATATCCGACATCGAGAAGAAAGTTTGTGTGAGTGACTCAATGATGACGACGTCCCTCTATAGCACAAAAATGAACGAATACCGGTAAGGGAAGGATAAGTAAATAAAAAATGACTGGTCCTTTTCGGTTAAACCAAACGGATTGTGAGTTTGGAAATACGGCCTTCTAAGTTTTTTGCGGATAATTGGTGAACGATAAAGCCTCCTGGTTTTGCATGGATACGAATAACTTTGAAACTACTGAAATCAAGCCGAATTGGGTGAATCATCTTCTAATTAGTCACTAAACCTTATGGCGCAAAAAGTACCAGACTATGGCTGTGGACAGACTATATCGAGTGAATTGTGCAGATATGAAAATATTTACTTATTTCTTGGGATCCTGGCTATTTTACATAAAGGTACAACTAAGAAACCTCACAGTATATTAACAACGATATCGGAAGCGCATGTCTAGCAAAACTAAGTCACAGGGGATCTGCGAGGACATAGCTATGTGTGTGTGTCTGTTGCCGATTTGACAATGGTTTCAGTCAGTCTTTACTCGTGGGCCTTTAATCGGTCTTAGTTGAAGGCACATGGGTCCACACCACAATGATCCACGAACTGTATACACAGAGTGTTTCATGAAGGGGATCTGGGAGCTTTAATACGGATGTGTGGTTAAATGCAATTGCGGTAATTTTTACCGAAATTTATATTTACAACACAAAATCACCTTAAACTGCACATCGCCTACTGTTTTTCTTTGATAATCGAACTTTTAGAGAGAAATTCAAGTTGTTGGCTTACTACCACAAGAGTTTCCGGTAAATTATCCAATGTACTTTACATCTGTGTCACACCAAAATTCTGAAATCGTTCTTACAAGCCAAGGGATGTGAGGGGAGTATATCCAGGTGACACATCTCACTGTCTTTCAGATTACTCTTATCTTACTCTTACCCTTCGGGTACAGTTTACAATTGTCCATACGGAACCGACAGAGCAATCTTAAAAAATAGGACTGTTTTGGAAATAGTCAGCTGACCGCTGTGCACGGTCCCGAAAGACTTAGTGCGTGTCTTCTACTACTGATTACAGATTCAGTCGATGTCGAGCAGACAAATGAGCCTAGTCGGTTTTACGGTCGAAAATCACGGGACTACTCAAAGCTGATTGGACAAGTGAGTTAGGCGGAGTTTCTGGTTTCAATTCTCAGTTTTTGGTTGGAAAGGGGAACGGAGATTTTCATCTCTTGTACGTCCCTACATTTGTTCACCAGTTGGGAGTACTGTATATCACATTTGAATATCTCATTACTTGTGCAGTTAAGAGCTATGTAAATGTATGTACGTACTTTTACTATGATATCAGGCTGTCCAAATAAGAAATGACTGTTACGAAAAACCCACTCTGTATGTTCGAGTGCAAGAGATGAATGCGCTTGAGATATAGATCTTAGCGTGCTAACGATACCATGTTTAGTGGGCGTTTTTACCCTATTTCTATTGAAATCGAGGGGTAAAACAACAATACCAGCAAATCATGCTTCGAACTCCACACAACTTGAGGAGCTTTCAAGTAACGTTGGAAGATGAAAGCCGCACGCTTCCCTAACATTATTTCGCTCGCTTCCTTCATCAAATCGTGACATTCGTATGGTATTTTCGCAATGTATATAACCGACTGACATGATTTTTGTCCGAGTGCACTCCAAGTGCTGTTGCATAGGGATTCCCGGAAATACAATGATACCCAATGCTCCAGCTTGTCACCGCAGAAATAAGACAATAGTCGATAGAAATGGCACTCGAATCGTCGGAGAACTCGATTCGCTTATACCAATAAAGGTTGCATTTGGCCAGTGTAACAGAATGAAAGGATCGAGAAATGCATTCATTTACAAATCAATTTGGTCTTCACAATAGACTCAACTGCATCTCTCGTTTATGATATTCTACAACTAAATGAACAGTCAAATAGAACATAAGGTTGACGAAAACTTAGGACTGTGCCTACCTGATGAGCCCCAAGAATAGCAAAACCGGTCGTGGGCTGTCGAAGAGTTTTCAACAACCTTGTGAGTAGTTTCCTTTATGGGAATGAAAGGATACTGAGACAGGATTTTCTGGAATGTAAAGACATGAAACGAAGTGAATTCCGTTAATGACAGGCTGCCCTGAATGTTGCTCTCTAGGAAAACATGTTGTATAGTAGGATAATGTACACTCTACCCTTTGCGCAAAAAGTAGCGATTCAAAAAAGAGGTGGTGACGCTGGCGTAGAATCCACTCGCATCCGTTCTATGCTATGAATGCTGATCGGTCGTTCTTGCCTTTCATTAAGCTGCACCTACCAGTGTTTAAACCTTTAAGGACCAGCTAAACAGAACGAAGCTTACGGTTGCCATGCCTGCAAGACTGGTGATCAAATAGAAACTGCAGCCAGTTACAGTAATTTATTTCACTAATCAAAGTGAACGCAAGCGATGACAACCTTGGAAAAAGTCAATGGATTCTGCAGCTTGGTCAAGCGGGATCACATAAGATCCGAAAGCTGTATGGTTACACAGAGACTATCTGCGTTACTTTTCTCAAAGCGATCTCATCACTGATAAAGATTTACAATGACAGAAAGGAGGGATTCTCAATCTATTCAGACTGAGATTTTACGGCCTCATGACATCAGTAGTCGGTAAGCAGAGTTTTTGAAGGCATCGTTGATGCCCTATTTGGACATAGATAAAATGTTCGACCGATTATTCTTATTTGTCCTTGGACTGAGAGCACATGGAAATGTGACTACCTGGTAACCGCGACCATAGCATGGTCTACATAGATTTTGAATGTTTACCCACTATTCGTATCGAGTCCAGACGCTCAAACAAAAATTAGTGATGTTTCCTTCTGTCTGGTCATATTGGAAGAATTTATCTCCAAATTTCCCAAAATTGACGACAATGCAATGTTTGCACATGGGTGTACGGTGTACTTTAACCGTCTGAATGCTCGTAATGGGGTGTTTTTCGGATACCTCTGAACTCGGGGTTCCTAATTCTGTTTTCTTAAAAAAACATCTGTTTCCCTGCAGTTAACTCAAAGTTCCCCACCCACGTGCTCGTACACTCTAAAAACAAACGAATAGACTTATTAACCGAACACATACCATTACTGTTCAATGACTGGTGGCTGGTATGATCATACAGCCATTTCATGATTAGCAAGACAGTTAGTGGTTCTTACTTGCCAAAGATAAAGCACACTGGGGATCAGACCCTGGTCGTCCGCGCTAGCCGGAATAACGTCCCACTCTCATCCGTTCTACACTGGCATTCCAATTGCACTTTCACTGTTCGCACTTTACCTGTTGCTAATTTAAATACACAGCAGCACATACAACCAGTCATTTGGTCTGTTTTGGCCACAAGAGGTATTGTTTATCGATTGAACAAGCAAACTAACTTCTTTTGAATCGCTCAGACAGTATGTACGATCAGTGCTTGAGTTGTGTGTGATCGCACTGAAGTAATATGGTTCGGTTGTATGCTCAAATGACCTTAACACTTCTGCCCCGTTGGCTCCCCCGCTCTCTGGCAAGTGTCCATGTTCCACACTCATATGGGAAATGCTTAAATCTCAGTCCAGTGATTTGCTATTTATAATGATGCATAACAGTGGTGCAATCGGCTCTCTCACTCTTGGATTTCCTATTCCTGTAGTTGAATTTGTGGTGATCATGAATAATGACCACCGCTATCGCCTTGTCCCTTTTATGCAGTCGACATAAGCCTTGAGTTCCGTGCTTTATGTGGAACGTTACGGTATCAACTTGACTGGTCGATACGGGTAATGTTTACTGAAGGAACTGAGCTTGGCGTTCAAACATACTTGCTGTTATGTCCAAACAGGAACCGTTTATCATGTGAGACGGTATTTTTGTTTCCATATTTCTGAAAAAAGGTGTCAGGGAATAGGGAAGCGAAAAAGGCCGAAGACTCCCAGTACCGTTTGAGAGGTTTGGCATTTTGCTCCGAAAAAGTGACAGAGTTCACGGGTCTGGGACAACGTGTTCGCCCAAGCTGAAAAACCTCTACCCGAAAAATGAAGAACAATTTTGCTACCTTAAAGTTGAACTTATAATATGCACTATTCCTTTTTTGCTGCAACACTTTCGGGGTATGTTAACGGCTTTACGCACTGATGTAGTGAACTTTTTGAACAGCTTCCTTATTGGTGAGATGGGGTTTTTGTTTTGTATGAAACAAATGCTTTATACATTCGATACCCTTGCGTATCTACGATCGATACATGGTTGCAAGTCCCCATCGTCTAGATCTTTATGAACTATTTTCATTTGTTTGATTTGAGTAGCATCACGGTGATGAACTTCTGTACAGGATCGAAAACAATTGTCATTGTTCGGAACTCGGAAACCATTGAGTTCTCAGTCGCTACTCTGTCTCACCCTACAACTCTCTTACACTTGACAGCTGTTGTAAGGTCGAAGTATTTTAGTGAATCGTAACCTGACCTATCAGTTAAACCCTGTCAGGGATTGTTTAGTGATATGAGGATGTACTGATTAGGCTGCGTGTATGACAGTTTAGTGATAAATGTGAGTCTATGAGTCGATTTCCACTTGTTTTGCATTTGGGTTCAATTTAGTCATTGTGGGGGTGGGGCGGATGGCTCAAGTGGTTAGAGCGCAAATTTGCTGATCGGAAGGTCCGTGGTTCGAACCCGACCTCTGTCTCTCGACTTCCCCTGTCTAGGCTTGGGTAACCTGGCAGTAGCCCAGCCCTCGTGCTTCCTTTGGGTGGCATGACAGTTAGTCACCGAAAGGATGTTATAGCTGAACGGTTATCTTTTATCTTTAAACTGTCTCCTCTTCAGTTTATTGGGTTTGTTTCCTCTAGAAGGAATTACGCTTGGAGCAGATACCCTGCCTCCAGAACTATTTCCTAAATGAAGAGGTTTTCTCTCCGGGATTTTACTCGAGAATAAAATCTGAGGCCAAGTAGTCTGGCTAATAAGTGGTCATCAGGTAGACTCCCATCAGGTAGACACATAATATTTCTTAACAATGGGAATACTCTGAGGACTGGTAAAAAAACAAGGTAGCTCACCTTAGGACGTGGACGAGACTGAGGTAATAAGTAGTGACTTAGCTGCTTACCTGTGGTCCCAACTTTTGCTGATCTCTCCAGCCATCAGTTGTTCGCGTTGATAAATGAGTAAATATTTACACACACTCGGGTATCGTGCCGGTGAGCAGATCATGTACTTTGAGGAGTGATGGTGGTGGCGTCTACGCTGGGTTGTTGGAAATGCCCGTACTCACAGCGATTTTCGCATTAAGCGGATGGTGCTTTAGCGATCAAATAATGGTCGAGCGAAAGACATGGGGGCGAACGGGAGATTTACATTATGGACTTCCAAGCATGGTCGACTGATACCATCGTTTTGGTGCGTAGGCTGTATCAAACCATTCTAATAAAAGTATGCCAAACAATGGCCAAGGGAGAATGGTTTACCTCGAATCAATGATTTTACTGAATGCGATCGTGGAATGGGATAATGTCTCTTACGAGATATAATGATCATATGATGGTGAAAGACGTACTCTCCAATAAAAGGGGTTTGTTTGTCACTGCAACTCTCGGAGGTTATCAGAATCCTGGATTATAAAATCACGATTACCATTTCGACTGTGGATCAAGGAACCATAAATTTGAGTTTTGGCCACCATAAAATGCGGATGCGTTCCTGAGGGAACTACATAATTCTTTGGACGTGATAAAACATAACGTTATAAAGCTATATTTTCTGTAGCATTTGGCATAAGCTAGACAGTGGGAGATAATGTTCATCCCGCTCTAAGAAGGAATTCGCCATAGGAGTGAACTCAAGAGGCTGGATAAAAGCTATTTCCACGGGGATTCGGTCGCTCCTTGGCGTTTTCATCCGTAAAACACAATAGGATATTATTCTACACCCCATGGATGAATAGCAAAATGTCCGACAACCTTAGGGCTCTTCACAATCCTACGTCAGACTATGCTCTAAAGCGTCCTTTCAAAATTACTGGACTTATCATGCAGTACGTTTCGTGGTACTGAGAGGTAGCAAGCTGTGGCGGTTTTGGCAGTTATCTGTTCACTTAAGTACTGCATAATAAGTCGCAT